CCCTAATTCAGATGGGAAAAGTGTTAGGCTACAGCTCCCAGTCTGCCCAAACCCCTGGTCTTGCCTTTCTCAGGAACAGGACCATGAGGGAAGAGCTGGTGCCACTGGGAGCCTTGGTCTTACCCACACAAAGTGTGCCGACCCCAGAGACAGGGATGTGATGCCTGGATGTAGCTTCAGAGCATCAATCCGGGCACATCCAGAGAAGGCAGACATTCATCTGAAGCAAAATTACTTGGTGATTTATAGAGATTTAGAAAACTGACAGCCTGTCACATAGTCTCTGTGAGGAAAGATGAGTAGGAAGAGGCCGTTGTATTTTTATTATTTTAAGTAATTGATGAGTTAATTAAAATCATACTTAATATTCTGTTGCTGTGAAAATATCCCTTGGTGTATCCCATGTCACTGCTGCTGGGAGTGGGTTTTGCAATCAAAAGTAATTTCACCCATATGTCATTTGTTTCAGAACCTTAGATTTTCAGCAAATCAGCTGAGATTTCTTCTTTTTCTCCATGTGGCAATGGTGGTGCTTTTTTTTTTTTTTTTAAAAAAAAATTGCATTGCTGAAGGAGGCACTGATTTCAAGACCCTCAAAAGGTACATGCACTATGAAACAGATGCCTAGCATATCAATATTAACATATTTATCAGCCAGAAAAAAAACCCAACACTTTGGGCTGAGGGAGATCCAGGTCAGGGGAAGTAACAGGAGTGGCATTTTACAGGAGATGCTGTCTAACCAGCCCTGCGCGTTGCTGTCATTTTCACATGAAAAAGCTGAATGAATTGGTCTCTTGATGCATCTGTAACTCTGACAGCCGTCACCTAAAAAAGAGCTTAGTGGAAAATAGAAAAAAAAGATTTATTTGGGGAAAAAATTGGGACTTATCTACTAAAGTTACATAAACCAAGGAAATATTTTGTTCTACCATGAGAGCTAATGAAAGCATTCCTTAAATACTAACTGAACTTCAATAAGTTTTAAGTGCCTAGAGATACGGATATTGAATTTTTTACCCCTTCCTTCGCATCTGCCGACTGCTCCACTGCCATATTTTTCTTCTGTCCTCCAGCAAAGCACAGAGCTAGGGAAACCACAAATGCTTAATCGTGTCACTGCCGTTGAGCAACAGCAAAAGATTGATGGGGAGGTTAATAAGTTGATTGTGCAATTATAACGCTTACCATGTACCGCCAACGATGGTTAATGTGGTTATTTCCTGCTCCTCTGGTCATTTCACTATGTGTTTGTCAAGTCGGCTCTGGAGCCAGGCTCTCTGCTCCCTGTGTTGCAGCCTGACAGCGTGCAGCGACAGGACATGTGGCTATTAGCCACCTTTGCCGTGCTGTGTATTTGTATGAACTCCTTGACTCCCATTGCACTTAGGAAAGTCAGCTGAAGTTCTGCTAATGAGAAAAGGATTAGATGATTTTTTTTTTTCCCTGTGCTTTTCAAAACGTGCAAACGACTGTGAAGTATTCAGAAATGAATTAAAGCTGAGGACAGTGAGCGATATTTTTGCTCTGTGTGCAAAGGCTATTTTTTGAATTGCTTTTTTTCTCAGCACACACTTCTAAATGATATCACGCTTATCACATTGTGCTCAGTAGAGGTAAACTCTCTTCTGTATTGAGACTTAATATAAGCTAAGAGTAGATACCTTGACAGGTATCAGAACCTAAATGTGACTTTCTGCATAGATACTACTAAAATTGGTGAATGGCATAGATTAATCAACACTAAAACCTTTTCACTGTCCTGCAAACAAGCACTCTTGCACAGATATGATCTTTGCTAGAATATAGGAGCGATGGTTGCAAATATGCACTTGGAGCATTACAGAGTAATGGTTTTGGTACAGAACTATTGTCCAGATAGTCAATATTCCATCTCCTTTAATGATTGAGTACCTCAAAGCTGGAATAAACTCCCCTTGATGTAGTTGATTGCATGTTGCTTTTCAAAGAAGAAAGCTCTGAATTTCAGCCTGTTTGTTTAGAAAACATTTAAGTCAGCAGAGCTTATGGCACAGAGCTTGTTGGGGGGACCGAGGTACAAATTTCTGAGTAAGCAGCTGGCTGCTGTTTGTTTCTGTAGTGCAAATTTGTAGAAATAAATAAGGCGACATCAAAGAGTATAGGCAGTTTCTGCCAAGGCTTTCTCCTCTTAATGGGGAAAATCTAGGGAAGCTCTTAATATTGACTAGGTGGTTTGGCCAAAGATGTACAATATCAAGGCAATTTAACCTTTATTAACCCAGGCATGCATGTTTCAAAGGGTATTAACCAGGTGTTTTGGCTTTATAGACCCTTCTTGTATGAGCAATTCTATCCTGTATGAACAAGAAACCCTGAAGATAGAGTTGTGAGGGAAAGCTGGATACTCTAGTAGTACCACAAGGTCACGGAGTAAAACTAAAAGAGTGAGACCATAAATAATAGCTGTTGCTTTGCTGAAAACAGATGCTACAATGGGAAATAACATTGCTGAACCTTTAAGGTCATCACACTTGGAAAAGGAACAAGCAGTGTAATTGCTGGGGTGACAAATAACCATCTAGTGTAGACAAATAGTCCCAAGCAGGGATTTACCTGCGGCAGTCACAGGTGAAATTCTTCGCTACAGAATTATTCATGGCAATGAGCTGATTCAGCAAACTCTTTATCTGGTCAGCACAGACTCAGGCTTCATAGCAGACAATTTTGCTTAGGAACATAGTTATGCTCATGGGGATTCTGAGAAGGATAACACACAAATCCGTCTGTGTCTATGATAAGAAGCAGGAGATTTGGGCCCATGCTAAGGAGCAATGAAGTTGCCCTCACAGCTCCAGTCTCCAATCCCGTTATCTAGTTAACACCGTCCACTCGCTGCTAATTGTCATTACAGAGGCTGGCGGCAGTGGTGAGAATTAGAAAACCAGTTCAGCTGGAATATTAGCAAGAATTAAATGTTTAGAGAACGGGGAGAAGTAAACCCATCCAGCACAGAAATTAGCTGCGAAGAAGAGGATGGCTGTTCACGAACTGTTTAAACCAGCCAAAACTTCCTTCTTTAGTGCCTCAAATACCACTGTAAATGTGAAATTAATTTAAGAGCTTCAGATGCTAGACCTTCCTTGTCTTCATCTCCTATAGTATCAGCACTGGCCTGGGTGAGCTGAGGGGATCAGCTTTCCTTGTGTGGCATAAAAAATTATATTAGTGAGGATTCAAAGGAGTAATTAATTTGGAATGAGAGCTCAGTTACTGGCAGCATCATCAGTGGGTGTAACATTTCAGACTGGTCTTTGCTTTCTGTGCTCAGACCCATTGTTCAGTGATACAATTTTCTGTGAAATTTGTTTGGTCATTTTTATTACTTTCTATTTCTGAGGATGGCACTCAGCTGATTAAATTTTGCCCCACGAACCTATTCATCTGGTTATTTTACAATGAAAAGGATTATTTTTATCTTACTACAATTAAATTCTTTTATGTTTTGCTGCCTCTCTTGTTAGTAAACAATAGTGTCTTCTAAAATGTAGGAATCAAGATTTCCTAGCCATATTGGCCGTCTTTTAAAAATGTGACTGATCCAGTGGTGATGCTCCCAAGAAACCTCAGTTTTCTTTAAGGACTGGGTAACAGCCTGCAAAAAGCAAAGCCTATATTTACAAATAATCTGTACGTTGCACTGTATTGGTTGTGTGAGGTCTCATCTGGGGATTGCTGTGTGATTACAGGTTCTGCTAATTCCATCTGTGATTTACTTTAATTTTTACTGAGACAAACCCAGTTCCTTTGAGCATACAGTCTTGATGAGAGGTTCATTTGTGAGCTTTACAGCTCAGTATGAACCATGGCATCGATGCGTATAGAAACCTGTGCTATAATTTACTGTTTCCAAGGTGAAGTTTATTAGCCATATTCCAAAAAGTTATCCTCCTTTTGATGCATGGCTTGTAACACCCAGGTGTGCCAT